CGGACCTCTGCTAGGCATAAATGGACTGTGACTGTAAGAGTTCGTGGTTCACGTCTGGTGCCCAAAAGCGCACTTCGCATTTTTGTGCCGTGGGTTACTGCTGTTGACCAAGCTACCTTCTATCGAGTTTACCAGTTCAAAATTGGGGAGGGTGAAGCGAAAAAATCTCAAACAAACAGAAAATTTGATTGTTCAGTATAATTAGACATGAACTATTTTTGTTCATTCGTCGAGTGTCGTGTTACTGATGGATAGAGAGAAGAACTAAGCCTTGCTTTTCTGCTTCTATAGCGTATTATTGTTTCTTAAAATAACAACAAAAAACGTGGAACATTACCAGAATATTATACTCTTATACATAATGCATGATTCAACTAATTTTAAGTATGAACATATGCAAAGGTTGAGTACATTATATTAATACGAATTTAAAGCCTTACCATGTCGATACAATCCATGACATCACATTCTGTCCTATGCTGTATAACAACCGTACATATTTATAATAGCCCTGCAACACACATTCTATTGCAAAAAGCTTTGTTGTTAGTTTGTTATGTTCAAAGCACACCATTTCTCTCTGCAGGCTTTCCATTCAACATCCAGTATTCGAGAATGACGATTTCCAAGCGCCCATATCAACAGTCTAATCACACAGAAATCTATAGGAAGTGCGTCAAGCGACTTGACTGTTATGTCTTCATTTGGAATAGGTGAATAAATGTTTCGTTCTCCAGCTGCTTGAGGTTTGCGACACATGAATGTATGTGGCATGGAAGCAATTGTGTAGATGTAACTTGCTTTTCCAATCGGAGATCATCTTGTGTACCGTTATCTGTGACACGTGGACGGCTTTTGTCACTGACCTTTACTTTCGTGAGTTCTCACTTGTTACAATACTTACCACGGTTTGGGTTCCTATTTGTAGCACGTCACTTTCTGGGTGGATCTGGTGAACCACATTTCGTAGATTTTTCTAAGACGAGGAAATCTTTTGTATTTAATAGCATTGTAAAGTAAATTCACCAGTCTGAATATATCTTTATGATTGGTTTGAACGAATATATTACGTCGGAAAGGACTATTACATGCTCTTTCTCAAAAATCAATCAATTTTAAATTATATTACAGTGCCTAGGATCCGCCAAATAGTGTCAAAATATAGCTTAGATACACGGCGTCATGTGACATACTGATTGATATGTTCAAAATTGTTTTAAACTAACTCATCTTTCTATAGATCCGATAAGTTGTTCTGAGGTTGTACCTTTCAATTTCTCGATATTCATTTATATTTGGATAAAAGCTTCCCGGAGTTTTAAAGATGAGTCTATGCGTGATGTTTA